CGTCTATATTTAGCCTAGTAAACAGCCCGTTTTTCGTATTCTCTGAGATCGGCGGTTTCTTCGGATGTAAAGGCTGCATTTAGTCCAGTTCAAATTGTTCGCCCTAGCATTAGCTCCGAGGGGTCCTTGACGTTGCAGTATGTGGAGTGGTTCTGTATACCACCAATGCAGATACCTACGCATATTCCCAAGGCCTTCCCGAGAGACGACGGACTTGTATAGATTCTTTCAAAGTACGATTAAGTCGTTCAACGAGTCCATTCGCTGCAGGATTATAAGGTACATTCCTCGTGTGTCTGAAACCATTGCGCCTTATGAATTCAGCATGCTCGTTACTTCGAAACTGTGGGCCGTTATCAATGACTATTTCTTCTGACAAATCGTACCTTGCAAACAAACAACGGAGCCACTTTATGATGACGGCTCTAGTTACGCCTCCACAAAGAATAGCCTTGACCATCTGCTGTAGAAATATGTAACCACTAGCAAGTATCGCTTCTGCGGAGGTGCATTGGCAAACGGGTCCATAATATCGATGGCACTTTTGGCCCATTGTTCCATTGGGTACACGATTGGTTGGACTGGAGCCATCAGGGGCCTCGCACTCTTATCGGATTGTTTGCAAGCGGGACATTCCCGAATAACCGCCTAGACCCTGGAATGCAACTTCGGCCACTAATAGTATTGTAGTATCCGAGCTTTTGTTCGCACGATCCCTGGATGATCTTCATGCGTAAATGAAATCACTAGAGGAAGATGGGTTGCAGGGACCACAAACTGGTCGCCTCTAATAATGCAGTTACTTACAGTAGAAAGCTCGTTCCGTAGGGTATAGTATGGAAGTAACTCAGGTTGTATTCTGGTACGACTCGGCCACGAAGTTGATATGTACTCCCGATGCTTCGCTGGGACAGGGTCTTTGTCAGTGTGCTCTCGTATCAGGCCAAATGTTATTGTAGGTGTTCCGTCTGGGAGCTGCGATATCATTTTTGCTCTAAGTCCTCGTTTTCCCCTTCATTGGACAGTGGGAGTCTCGAAAAGGCAGCTGAAAGTTGGTTAAAGCACCCTGGCACGTATTTCATTTCATAATCATAGTTCAAGAAACGTGAGTACCAGCGACTCAAGCGTACCGGCTTTTGGCCTTTGTTACCGCGAGTTAGTAGCGTTGTAAGAGCAAAGTGAATCGACGTCTGATTAAGTAAAAGTGCCATTTCGCACCTGTCCAGACGCATGCGAGGATATCCATTCTCACCGGTGGAATAATTTCTTTCAGTATCAGACAAGGTACGCGATGCGCACGCAATCACTTTCTCTTCGTCATCGTGCAGCTGGGACAAAACTGCACCCAAGCCAACATCTGAAGCATGCGTTGAAACATGCGTTAGACAAAACTCATTGAAGATCGCTACCGTGGGAATGGATTCAATCATCGCTCGTATGGTTTTGTAAGCATTGTCTTGTTCAGTGGCCCAACGAAACTCCTGGTTTTGTCGCGTCAACCTCCGTAACGGCACGGTAACAGTCACAAAATTCGGTAAATGTCTAAGGTAATAAGAACACAAAACCAAGTGAGGTTTCATCTGTGTAACATTGCATGCTTTTCGACAATCGAGACTGGCTCTGGTATTCTGCACAGTAGGTTTAATACCCGAAGTGGAAATAACATGTCCAATAAACTCGACCTCCGTTACAGCAAATTGACATTTACCGGTATTCAGCTAAAGATTTAGTTCATTCAGTCTATGCAGCACATTATGAAGGTTTTCCTGATGTTCAGTGGAGTTACTACCCAAGACACAAATATCATCCATATACACAACACATCCTTTGAGTTCTGATAACGATAGAGTAATAAATTTCTGCCAAGCTGCTGGGGCACTACTAAGGCCCATCGGTAGCACTTCGTGTTGATACAAACCGTCTTGCGTGAGGAAAGCAGTCAAATGTCGGCAATCTGGAGTCAGTGGCAAGTGGTACTATGCACGGCGAATATCCAGCTTTGAGAAAAGTTCGGAGTTTGATAGCTTAACCATCAACTAGTTGATAGAAGGCAGAGGGAACTTGTCCACAAGTATATGTCAAGTAGGCGCTCGAAGGTCGCTGCATACATGAATAGAACCATCTTTCTTCTGAATGGCAACTAGCGTATGAACCCATTCAGAACACTGTATGGGTTCTATCAAGTCTTCCGTGACCATATTTTTCAAAGCTTGCAACAACGCTTCTCGCTTGACCAGAGGTACAGACCTAGGTTGAGAAATACTAAACTGTTGGTAATCCCCGCTCAACCGAATTCGGTGCATTGCTTTTGGGACTCTACCAATATCCGGAAGAAAGAGATTTGGGTAACTTAAAAGTAACGAATGAAGGTTGACACTGGCAACGGTCATCCGGCTGACGCATGTTGACACGTTCAATAAGACCATGGCATTACGTCCCAATAGAGGCTTACTATCAGTTTTAGAGACATAAACTTCAACTATACGCTTTCTGCTGTTTATAAGAAACATTGAAACCATAACAAAACCGAGTATGTGGACATCACCATTGGAGTAGCTGCTGAAAGTGTAAGCGGAAGGATGTACAGTTGGCTGACCAAAATGCTGTTTGTAAAAACAATATGGCACAATTGTGATTGGTAACACGGAATCTAGTTCCATGTCTAGACAA